AGCAAATTCATTTCGCAAAGGGGGTGCGCCGCCGATGCCGCGCTAACAATTGCGGACGCATTTTCAGGCAGGGGGTCATAAATCACCTCGGGGTGGGGGTGGGGGGCGAGCAAGAGCGATGAACACATTCTTCCCAGACTATCGCTTTTGACAAACGCCCGTCTGTTTTGATAATCATTAGCCGCTCGGGCTGCTAAACGGCTGTGTGATTTATTAGCCTTGACCGATCCCGAGTCCCGCCGTGTGCCGCTTGGCTGGGGGCAAACACAATCAGCCGTGGTGGTATCGGCGTCGAGGGTTTTGCAGTACCTTCTGCATCCCGGCATTAGAAAAATCAGCAGTGGGCTCAAGATGATTCGAAGCGCTGACCTATATTAATAACCGACATTGTAATATTTGTTCCAGAAATGCTATGAATGTATTCCCAACAGTCGGTTCTCTTCATTTTGTCGCATTTCTCTTGGCTACCCTGAGCATGCGGTAGGGTTATAATCAACTGGGATTTTTCATTATAGATACTTTTTATTTCGTTGTGGCTTTTTTTTTTTAGTTCATTTAGTTTTAATTTAATTATAGAGCACGTTTATTAGTTTTTTTGAAAATGTTTCCTTTTAGTTTAGTTTTTATTAGTTTTAGTGTGAGTTGTATTTATTTATTTATTTTTAATAAATGGAGTATTTGTCAACTGCAAGATTTTTTTTTTTTTTTAAATGGTTACGAAGCATTGTGTGATCGTGTGTTCCTCAAAACATTTCCACGATTTTATTGAGGCCCCATTGAAATCTTGCTCGCCGTTTTAATACTGCAAACTCCCCGTTGAATACATTTGATAACCCGCATCTCCGGTGAGTATCATTTATTCATTTTCGTTTATTTATTTATTTTTTTGGTCATGTCATTAGATGAATATTGATTCTGAAGCGCTCCAGATAATGTACTCGACACAGCTGCGTGATGTTATATTGCAGTCCCGACGCTCTCGATAATTGTGTCGCAATCGCGGCGCAATTAATCCGTGGATTATGCCCCCGCTGAATGCATGGCCCGCCACTGATAAAACCGAGAACCTCCAAACGTTCACTCGATTAAACATCTGAACACATTTCATCTTTAAAGACACCGAACAAAGTGGACACTTGAAGTTCTAAGTCCACATTTAGACGACGGCGCATGCACACTCAAACACCACGGACACAACTCTTGACATGCATGGGCGACGACAATCGTGCACGGCGACTGGTTGTGGGGCGGATTGGCGAAGAGGGTTGGGGGTGGGGGGGTTAGAGGGAGTTTCAGAACGGCAGACAAAAGGAGAGGAGGTTGCACTACTCTTAACAAATGACTTTATCGGAGAGATTGGGCTCATGGGAAGATAACAGCAGCCAAATCCTCTATCAGATCACGCATGATTTGCCTCTGATTAGCAATTTGATTTGATATGTTTGCCAGCAGTCAGCCCGAGCTCACCTAATCAGATAAACTCGGGGCTTGATAGTCCCTCTTAAGGCTTTTAATGAAGTCTGATTTATCGGAGTTTATCAAACGAAGACACATTTATTTGAGCAAAGTTTGACATCAAACGTGCGGTGCCGCATTTTTATTCTTTTTTTCTGATTCGGCGGCCCAATTTTTTTTTTTTTATTTTTTTTTCTGACTCGGCGGCCCAATTATTATTTTTTTCTTTCCCCGTTTTTTTTCACAGCGGCGTGCTCAAGTATGTCACTTGCAGGCCGCCGTTGGAGGCGGGCAAGAGAATAGAGGATCCGGGGGGGCAGGGCTCGGCGGGGGACAGACTGGGGTCAGGTGCCTCTACTTTCCTTGTGGCGGACTCTGGCTTCTCTGCAGCCTGTGTCACGCAACTGTCAGTTACAGCCGCAACGGCGATGCTGAGGGTGGCGAGAGTGGGAGGGAGACAGACAGACACATAGCAGTTACTTGCACGTCACAGTGAGAGAGAAAGACAGATTAGCAGAGGGTGGGGAGTGGGAGACGGTGATGGTGGTGGTGGGGCGGGGGGTATCAAGAGGCTACTGCACTTGCTTTAAACTCAGTGTTCCTCAAACTTGTTTTGAGCCAAGGAACACATTCACTGCAGATGTCTTCATTCGTCAACAGGAATCCAACCAATTACTTAAACGGAATATTGTACAAGTACAGTCCATTTGTTTCATGTGTAGGCATGCCCAGCTTGTTTGTGAAATTCAGTTTTGGTAAACCTCTAAAATGACATTCTGAATCTTGTAGATGGCAATGTTGCATCGCTTTGGATTTGAGATCAGCACAGCTCTTGAGTAGAAGATAAAGAATAGGAGGAAAATCTCGCCTGATCATGTTGATGACACTCGTCAACAGTACATCTTAATCGGAGATGGCTTTTTGTGTACAATGGATTTGGACGCAGATTTCAAAAACGCTCACCCCCCCTTAACGCAGCATATTTTTGAGATATTTCCATATTTTGTTTTTAAGTTTGACCTATAAAGTAGGGGTGCAAATTGATCACATTTTGACTATTCTGATTCCATTTTCGATTCTTTATCGATCCTTTTGGACACTTTTTTAGGGGGGGGGGGGAGACTAAAAAAAGTAGATTAGCATTCACTTTTTTTTTTTTTTTTATGTCTTACACTTTTAAAAGTAACAAGACCTCACAAACCCAACTGTGTGGTGCAAAGAGGGCCACATCCTAGCACTCTTTGATGGGATGCCATGGGGTCCCCCAGAAAAAAACAAGATTTGTTTGACACACACACACACACACACACACACACACACACACACACACCTATTGGCATTTTGGTGCCCTTTCTAGAACACCCAAACATGCCACAAGATGCCGCCAATGCCTTGTCTAACTAGGAAAGTAGTAGTACAGCCCTTGGGATTAGAGAAGGCGGTTGAAGTGGTACAGACTTTGTATGTTGGTGAGAAACTCTCATGGCTAAACGGTCTGTTCAGCATCTTGTTCGAGATCAGGAAGTTGTGCAAAAAGTCCTTAAAAGTTGGACAGTTGGGCATTCCAAAAGTTTGCCGCAAGTCAGATGAAGTTCACCCGTAAAGGTTATGCTACATTTTAGGCTCATCTTGAAAATTCTCCCGGTAGCCGAATAGTCTCCATGCACTCGTTTTGTTAATATTCCCGGAGAGGGCGACCCCTGTGCGGAACCGTGACATTTTCCATCAGAACTGCTCTTTGCATCTTCTTTTTTTTTTTTTTTTTCTCGAGAGCGTGGTGGTAACCCCGGCAACTGAGCAACGCGCAATCTGCCAAGACCAGGTGTCTGCGACAGGGGCAATTAGCGGGATGCGACGTGAGCGCTCACGTTTTGGACCGCGTGGCTTTTTGCAGTTCTCCCTGCAAAAAACAGATGGCTTTCTTTTTGCCTGCCCCTACCGCCTCCATGTTCGCAAACACATTTAGAATGATTTCAGCTGGGTGGCTTGTTTCCTCTGAGCTGCATCGCTGTTACCTCGGTGTCGCAGCAGCTGGCCAACCTTAAGGAGTTTATGAACCCCCGCTTTGTCAAGAGGCAGATTAGCTGATAAACTTTAAAAGCAAGCTGGCCGTCTTAAAAGTCTTCTGCCGGAACACTAACAATAAATAGCAAATCGATCCACTCGTTGCCTTTTTAAAGACCTGTTTGCATTGGGAAACAATTTTCCACAACATTAGCTAGATCTTTGTCAAGGCGGCATTTTGAATGCAGGGCTTAACGAAGTCGCGCCGACGACTTTTTAGCCCACTCTGATCAAAGAGCTTCTATTTATTGAACTCGCCTGCCACAGCGCCCATTTTTAAGCGATCGTTAGTTGTTTTTTTTTACGTATGCAAGCGAGTCAATATTAACAAAGAGAAGAAGAGAAAATAATAGAAAAGAAGAAGATACCCCTTCAATGCACGACATAGCCATTGTTCTCACGAAGCAGAGACCTATCTGCCGGTGAGTATTATTGTATGCCGTTTGTACGTGTGCTTTGAGGTGGCAGGTGATCACTACCGCGAACATGCTAATTTCTATTAGCACACGGCGCTGCACAATTATGGCGCAAATGACAATCAGGACTATATTGTCCACTATAAGCATTGAAATAATGATGATGTCATATCAATTCACCTCAGAAATGTTTTTTTTTTTTTTTTTTTTACATTATGCACAACTCTCATTTATTGTGCAATGATCTAATTGTAACATGTATTTGTTACATATTTTGATGCATTTTTATGCTTTAGAAAACATTTATATCTGAATTTTGAGGGGATTGTGGGGGGGCTTGGAATGGATTAGGACATTTACATGGAAAACGCGTCTCTACTTACACACTTTTCTAGTTGAGAAATTTTTTCCAGAACCAATTAATTTCGTAAGTAGAGGTACTACTGTAATACTCATAACACATAGACACACAAATCTGTTTTTTTCCTCCCCCATCTCCATTTCCCCCCACACTCCTTGCGAGTGACTTGGGACCGGTCGGTGGACTACCGGATAACCACGATCGACTAGTTGGGCACCAGTGTTGTAATGACAGTATAAATAGTAATAGGTGGAAACACGGGTTAATTGTACCGCCTGCTATTGTCGCTGACGTACAGCAGATAAACAATGGCACATTATTTGTCGTCTATAAATTACAATTTTTTTCAATTCAACGAAAGTGGAAAATTTCCCAGGAAACACCCGATAGCAGCGCCCTCGAAAACATGGCCGCGAGGAATATCTCATTCATTTCCGTTCCGCAAAATCCGCACGTACTATTATAAAGCCACTGAGAGGTGGTCCAACCATTTTGTCTGCCATCAGACTGACTAACAGCACGATTCACAGGATGAATGGGAGGGAGGCGGCGCCCTCTTTGCACCGTTAACTCCGAGCGAATGGTGTTTTTGTGCCTTTCAAAGCCCTCGTCTCTCTGGAGGGACGACATGAGTTCACATCTAATCTCCCGCCGACCTCCCCTGGCCGACAACACTCTTTTGGCAAAAGGCTCTTGGTACTCACAGGTCATTATCTGTCTCCGTGCGGGTCTTCTGCTGGCGCCGGTGGACCATGACCACGGTGACGGCCACGCCGATGATGAGGCCGATGGCCACGATGCCTCCGAGGATCCCGATAACACCGCCCGGGGGGCCCCGCGCCATCGGTTTCTCTACACAAAGCGGGAAAGAAGGATAACAGTGTCAGCGGGCGGACAAGAGAGAGAAACTGTTGCGGATCCATCGCCGATGACATGATGGCACAGAAAAACGGCGACATGTGGCAGGATTCATTCTGCAGCGGACGTCTGGAAACAGACCAGAAAAATTGTCGAGCGAACGACACCCACTTGCAGTGTTTATCTGCATATCGACGATGTAGTCATCATCAAAAGTGAGCCGTGCAGTTGAAAAAGTGGCACATGTTGTTGCCCATTGCATCGCTAGCGCAGTTTGGATCCTGGCCAATGTCCAAAAACCCAGCAAGAAATGTCAGGCAAGGATAAATGAAAACATTACACCAGGAAAGAGTAGCCATCAATTAAAAACTGAACCCCAAAATTGGCGACAGTTACGAAACAAGGTCGTTTTTTTTTCTGCATATAAAATCTACGAGGCTGCCTTGGGCCCTAACACAGAACGCTTTACTGTAAAAATGACAAAAACTGGTTCATGCCCCCCCCCCACCCCAAAAAAATGTGCATCATTGTGTTTTTACTTTTTTAGTACACCAAGTTAAAGTACTTTTGTGATATGTCATTTAACAACAAAGAGGGTTGCTATGTTTTTTTTTTTTTATTTGAGTGTTATATATACTTGCAAGAATTACAGACATAAAAAAAATAAAATGCATGTAAATACGTCACACACAAAAAAAAAAAAGCGGGGCATATTCACACTTGATGCTACCAGATTTGAGCCTGGAAAAAAAAAACTGCATGAATCGTAGTAGTGACCGTTTGGAACAAAGACAACAAGAATTCGTGTTCACGGGAACTCCTGAACCGTCACGCGCCGTAGATAAAAATGACAATTTACAGCTGTGAGTGAAACGGTCATGGCCATGTGTTTTTTTTTTTTTTTTTTTTTTTTTGGTATCGGTGAGGATTCTTGATGCGCCGCAACCACGGTGATGTCTTCGACCGCATGTCGAAGCTGTCCTCCATGTAAGAGTGCTCACCGGGGACCAATCAAAGGCTTGAGGGCAGCGCATTCCGGCCGGCTCCACTCTGAAGGGGAGAGCCGCCCTCGTGATGACTCCATTATTACGTGGCTGCCCCTCCCCGCAGTGACAAGACAAGGCCTCGCTCGCCTGCTACCTTGATTCACTGCCCATAATAGCGGATCCTCAAAGGACTATGTCTTGTATGAGCACATGATAGCGTGATAACGAGCCCTTGGATACAACAATGGCTGCCTCGGAGGAGGCCGGCCGTTTCTTAACGCACAATTTTCTCCATTTTGAACCTATTCTGATCTTCTCACTGACCTGATTGCAAACCCTGGTCGCGGTTTCGCTCGTCACAAATGTTCGTGCTCATTGTCCGATTCGGAAATTTGCAGTGGATCTGCGGGGATGGGCGGAGCCTTAGGTAACGTCATCACTCTGAAATATTGTGCTGTCGATCAAATTAACATGAGAGTCAACAGTGTCTGAGAGCAAAAGGGAAGAAGCGCTTTGAGAAGTGATAGCAAACAGCAGCAGAGGCTAATGTTTGCTGTTCCTTGCCATAATCCGCTATACCAAATTTGCATGAAATTTGGGAAGTGCGGCATTTTATCACTCATAATATGCTTTAACATTTGGGCTTCTCTTGTTAAAAAAAAAAGCCTCACCTGGCTTGCATGTACTCCATAGCTATGTCAGTCGGGAATCGGGTGGAATGAACCATTTCACCTTTTTCCACTGTGGCTGTAGTAGTCTGAGACAAACCACAAATTTTATCTTATATTTATGGTGTCGGGTTTAATAGCTGGCAGATTTCAATAAAGAGAAACAAGCCTTCACATTTTACAAATGCCAAACCAAAAACAACCACCGAGCACGCAGGCTAAATATTGTTTTTGCTCTGCTGAAATCCAATCATCTGACAAGTTACTTTAAGCGGAAATGTAGCAAGATGAGATGTCATTCAAGTGTTTTGAATCGCAATTTGTGGCTGATCTTTTTTTTTAATGTATTTGTTTAGTTTTTTAACACTCTACAAGTACAACAGAAAAAAATAGATGACATCCGAACCCCCCGACCCCCATAAAAATCGGCTGACTTTTGCTGAATTTCTTCTCAGTTGTAATATTAAATACTAAAGGACAAGGTACTGTAAAACTGTCAAATCTTCGACTTGTAATTCACATCTTAATTGTTGAGAACGTTAAGGGACAAAAAAATAGTTTCATTCATTATACATTTTTTAAATTAATGATCAATTCATCACAATTTTATTCTCACCAATATTGGCATCGGCCTAAAAAAAAAAATCTGTTGTGCCTGAGTTTAAACGATTAGGGCGCGTTACTTGCTGTTTTTTCTGCTATCGACGGCAAGGATCGGTCCCCTGACTGTAAACGGCTTAATGTGACATATAATAAATTCAAGTGAAATCAAACCGGCTTCCTCATAGCCTCACACTTCTTTTTTGTGACGCTACCCCCCCGTCCGCCAAAAAATATGGTCATCTCTGGAGCGTGTGATCTCGCTGGAGCATGGCAACAGCTCAGCCACAGCCGCTACTGTGCAATGCGCGAGCCAGTGGGCTAGATTTCATGGGCCCTAATGCAAATGCCAGACACAATAGTCTGCTGTGTAACCAACACACAGGCGCACAGACTGAATCAGAATGCCATTTTTTTTCCCCCTGTTGCAGAGCCCGCCAGCGGCTGGCATGGATGATTTTAAGAGCTCGCGGCGCATAAAGGGTGTGGAGCGACGGCGCTTCACAGGTGCCAGCAAAAATTGAACTCCTCATTTTGTGTACATGAGCCGCAGCCGACATCACAAATCCTCACACTGAATGCTTCCCCCGATGTGGCGGCAGGCTCTTGATGAAAGGGCTCGATTTTGTGGTTCATTTTGTTTTGTTTGTTGGTTTGCCTTCTGAACAACAGAGGCGCAAACGGCACACACCTTTGGCTTCTCGTTCAATGAGGCGGACGTGAGCTGGCGTGACTGGACCGAGTCAAGCGGTTGTTTCTCTGCTGCAGTCCACATGTTTTCAAGGACAACGTTTTCACGCAGAGACACGCTGCTGGAACAAAAACAGGCACTATACATGTAAATGTAAATATCGGGCTCTGGAAATAATTATGAAGCCCCAAAAAACAAGTGCTGGACCTTGTTTGGTATTTTGAGCGTCGTCTGCATTTTAACGCGCATTATGACAATATTTGTACAGAAGTGCCTTGAGGTGTGAGTGACTTCACTGCATTGTGTGGTGGCAGTCCACTCGCTTCAACAACAAGGCGTCAAGCATTTTGATGCCACTCCAAATTGAAATTTACAGTCAAACTAAACACAGAACAAAAAGACTGACACGTTTTATATTTATAACCACCACAAAATTTGGCCTTATAAAAGTCCGCTAAGCTTCATGCTAACAATGCAAAACACAATAGACGGGCTTCGAGAATAGCAGCTAACATGGCGGTGTTTTGATGCTCTTCAACAGCATGGATTTGAACACAGATGGTATCATCACTAAATGTAGACAGAAAACAAAACAAAACTCACTGCTTAGGCAGATATTCTTTTTCCCATAATAAATGTATTGACATTACAGCAGCTTACTGTGTGATTTAAGAGAAGTTGTGGAACCCTGATTCGTGTCTGCCTGCCTTAATTATACTGCCCCCTCATGGCCAACTTCCACACACCAGAATGAATCAGCAAGATTCAATCAGAGTCATAAGCTACATTGAAATTGTTCATCTGCATTAACTGTTCAATTCTTCAATAAATACCTGAAAGAAAAAGGGTTCGTTTACAACTCCGGACTGACTGGCTGCAAGAAATTGTATACATAGTACAGATAAATAAATAAATCAATACAATAAAAATGTTGCAGAGCGGGATCGGAATCTGTGACGCAAAGGAATAAAGCAGCACCTTCGGAGAGACAGCTATAACCGCTACGCTACGAGCGGGAACACTTGAACTAGCGCAGAGTTTACACTTGTAGTTCTTGGCGTGATTCACGGCAAAGTGCGAGGTGGCGAGTTGCCGGTCGCGGCGAAATAACCACTGCGTACTGTGAGTATGTACTTAACTAGTAGCACTCATGAAACAGAACATTCATGGACTTCTCCCTAAAAATGTCCAAAAAAAATGCCATTAGAAAATCTTCATTCACTGTAAAGCATACCCGAATATTTTCGCAGATCTTCCTGTCATAGAAATAGAAAGAAAGGTCGACACTTGTTCATTAAAAAGTTCACGATCGGCGGTCAATCAATGCATTTCATTGCCAATCACCCGGCGCTGGAGATTTCCAAAAAGTCCATTTCTGAGAGCAATAATAGAGTCAAGAGTTTGGAGCTTGTTTATGTTCTGGCATAAGTTGAATCATTTGACCGCGCGCGGCCTCACCACCTGGTCACATTTGCTATGTTTGTGCGCCATGAAAGCCCAACTGTGACTCAGCACCGGCCAAGTAATTGTTTGAAAATTGACCCTGTGCACCGCTCAATAAATGAAGACGACTTTTTTTTTTCCCCCCCTCGTGGTGGAGCAAAGGCCTTCTTGCCGACAGAAACCGGGGTTGCGCGGGCGGACCGCGTCGACCGCTGACAAACTCCAAAAGTAGTTATTATCCTCGCCTTGTGTTTGGCTGTAAAACACACAGAGTGCAAATAAATGTTATTGTGCTCCTCAGTCTGTTTCTAAGAGTGTGCGTCGATGAAGTCACTGCACAGCAAGTGCACGCGCACAGTCTCTCCAACTCCACATCAAAAGAAAAACACAAACTAATAATTAAGTCCAAGAGGCGAGTATGTGTGCATTCTAACTACAGGATAAAGTTTATGGATTAAACCTACTTTGACAGTGTAACATAGGAAGTTTTCTGACATTACAAAGTCACAATCTCAGCTAATATCAACCACAAAAATTGCTGTGGAAAAAAACAAACAAAAGATGAATCACATTTGGGACTTAACCACCTACCTGCTCGTTGGAAAA